GTGGCTGGAGGGCCAGCCCTAATCTGGCAGGACCAGCACTGAATGCTGAGCTGTTTGGACATCTGTGTGCCTACTTCATGGTGTCTTGTGGGACACTGAATTACATATATCCCAGTTATCCCAAACTCTTCCTGCTGTAGTTACTGGAGAGTCGACTTTGAGCCCCTAAGGCTGGTGTTTTCCAGCTAGGTATGAACTTGGGGGGTTGATCCCTTGATCCCTTCTCTCACTGCCCTGGTTACTGGAGAAATGATACCCACTCGTGTTAACATGGCATATCTTTTGATACGAGGACAATGTTAGATACTGGGAGAGTAGTAGATCAGAAATGATCACCTGGAGGTTACCATTGCAATAGGAGTTAAGATGGATTTGTCTTTGTCCCTACCCAAATCCATTTTTCTGACCTTCCAGGGACCATGCTGGAGGAAATGAGAAGCTGGTAAAGATGGAGACGGGGTTGCGTGTGTATGGGGGAGACAGCAGAGTCGGAGCACTGACACAGAAAGTGTCTCACCTTACTTCACTCAAGGTAAAGGGAGTGAGCTGCAGGACTCGGCTGGGGGCATCTCCTGTTTGTGTCACAGGTTTAGAGCTGGACCAGTGTGGTCCAACCTGAGTTAATATTGTGGTTGCAGCTTTTTTTTCCTTTCAACATCTCTTGGATGGAGTTGATAGTTTAAGTCTAGCTTTCGCCCTTTTCCAGCCCTTTGAACCATAGCTCCTCTGTCTTGATTTGGCCGGTGATACTTCATTGATGAGAACACTGGCACGGCTCAGACACCTGCACTGCTGGGTGTCCATGTGCTTCTGGACAGCTGCCTTACCTGGGGTGGTCAGAACCCATGTGTGAAAGGATAGGGCTTGTGCTCTGCTTAGAGCCTAATTAGCAGCGAACAAATGCCAGTGGTCCTCTCTGAACGAAAGCTGGAGTAGGGGGTGAAGAGGAAGCAGGCCAGCAGTGCTAGCTGCCTGCCTTGCTTTTCCAGAGCTAAAGCAGCAAAACTTGTTGGAACCTATCCGTTTGTTTACAGACGAGCTGGCAGATGACATGAACTGCTGTGAAATGTGCAGGCTGGCATGAATGTCACTGCTAGTCTTGAGGTGCACTTTTGGGGGGGGGGCAGCAGGAAAAAAGGGAGTACAGAAATACATGGGAAGGTGTGCAAATTAGGGCTGTGGGGGAAACATCTCCTTGGCCTCGTGAATGTGTTTAATCCTTCCCTTTTTGTGAGCGTTATCCACTTCTTCCCTTTGGCTTCATTTTTGTTTGGAGCTTTTTACACTTGATTAACTTTGTTTAGGATTTTTTTTGTTGCTCTGGATCTGCTTGCTCTCGCTGCCAACCAGACGCCGAGTCCCTCTGCATGTAAATGAAAGAATCTGGCATTTCTCTTTGTCACAACACCTGCTAGGAGGAAACAGCTCCCTTCCAAGTTCCTGCCATAAAACTCTTTTGCTGGACTCTCCCAGGAGCAGAGCTGATGTTTACTGCCCAGCTATGTCAGAATTTGCCTGTAGGACTGCTAGACCAATGTAAATAGTTGCCATTCTTTTCTAACCGTACAAATGCTAGCAAACAGTAGCTTAAGCTCTAGTCTTCTGCCTTCTTCTCAGGTGGGATCTCTTAATGTGAAATGCCTCTGTACGCCGTGTCACACTTCTGGACACATCTGTTATTATGTGACTAAGCCAAATAGCTCCGAGCCACCTGCTGTTTTTACAGGTGAGGAGTTGGGAGGTTACCTTGCCGGCAGTCTGTGTTGCAAAGAAATAAGTTCTCCCTCTGCCTGTGTGCTCCTGACTCTGGATGTGCATCCATCCCTTACTGCCCGTGCAGCTGGTTAACATCCACGTCTTGCCCCCTTACCAAGTGCTACCAAGTAGTAGTTGTAGATGAAACTGGTGAAACCTCTCCGGGTTTGTAAACCATTGCTGGAGACCCTGCAAGCAACATCAAGAGCTAGCCCTGGATGAGTCCTACATCTGGCATTTTCTTCCTTGAAACAAGAGCTGTTGGTTTATTGTCTCAGGCCAAACTGTGGCTGATTCCAAAACCTGTTGCTTTTCCTTATGTTTGTACTCGTGTCTGTAACAAAACTGAGAGAGGAGAAAATAGGGGAGTAAGAAAGGGCTCCATCTCTGGTAGCCAGGTTCCGGATCCTGTTTTGGAGAGCAGGGTTCCCCCTTCCCTCAGACTGCACCCAATCTCCCCAGGCTGCCATCTCATCCCTCTCCTGACGGGCGTTCTCCAGAGCTTGCACCAGCTGCTGCATGGAAGAAGTTACGGCTTAAGCAAGATTTTAGGGAACACTGGGTAGAAAATGCAGAGGCGACTCATTTTTGTTCAGCTTCACGGCAAAGAGAACGAGTGTTCCTTGTCCACTCCAGAAAGGACAAGAGGGGACAGCAGACTGCCCACAGACAGGGAAGTGCTGGCATGGTTTGCCTGGCAAGGCTGTGGGGTTTCGTGCATTAGAAGTTGCATTTTCTGCGTAGGTTTATGTATCCCTGAGCCCATGTGGGGCAGCAAGGGTAGCCTGGCTCTCCCTGTCCCTGCTTGGTGAGCTGCAGCGAGGACAGCAATGGCAGGACTGAGCCCTCGGGGACCCTGCGTGCTCACGCTTCGGTGTGAGGAGCCTTGTCTGGTCCTGATGCCGTGTCACACCTCCCATCACACCTCCCTTGCAGGTGACACGCTGTTTGTGGCTGGTTGTGGCAAATTCTTCGAGGGAACCCCGGAGGAAATGTACAGAGCGCTGATTGAGATTTTGGGCACCTTGGACCCCCAAACGGTACGAACCTCTCCTTTTGTTCACTGACCAGAAGCTACTACAGACATCAAAAAAAACATCTTCCTAGTAATACTGTTGTTCAAAGAGAGAATTTCTCATGTGTTGAAGGAATGAATGATTAAATCAGGAATTGTCTTTGATGCTGGATAGCCAGAGTCATAGAATCATAGAATTGTCTAGGTTGGAAGGGACCTTTCAGATCATCTAGTCCAACCATCAACATCACCCTGATAAAATCCATCACTAAACCATGTCTCTAAGCGCTATGGCAACCCAGCTTTTAAATCCCTCCAGGGATGGGGCCTCAACCCCTTCCCTGGGCAGCCCATTCCAAGGCTTAAGAACCCTTTCCATGGAAACATTTTTCCTAATCTCCAACCTGAACATCCCTCCCCTGGCACAACTTGAGGCCATATCTACCCCAAATAACACTTGTGCTTTGTGGGGAAAAGAGTAAGGGCTGCTGCTTATTAGAACTGAAACTAGCTGATTGAGATTTTGGGCACCTTGGACCCCCAGACGGTACGAACCTCTCCTTTTGTTAAGTTAACTGACCAGAAGCTACTACAGACATCAAAGAAACCGTCTTCCTAATAACACTGTTGTTCAAAGAGAGAATTTCTCATGTGTTGAAGGAATGAATGATTAAATCAGGAATTGTCTTTGATGCTGGATAGCCAGAGTCATAGAATCATAGAATTGTCTAGGTTGGAAGGGACCTTTCAGATCATCTAGTCCAACCATCAACATCACCCTGATAAAATCCATCACTAAACCATGTCTCTAAGCGCTATGGCAACCCAGCTTTTAAATCCCTCCAGGGATGGGGCCTCAACCCCTTCCCTGGGCAGCCCATTCCAAGGCTTAAGAACCCTTTCCATGGAAACATTTTTCCTAATCTCCAACCTGAACATCCCTCCCCTGGCACAACTTGAGGCCATATCTACCCCAAATAACACTTGTGCTTTGTGGGGAAAAGAGTAAGGGCTGCTGCTTATTAGAACTGAAACTAGCGAGCTGGGATGCCTGGGCTCTTTCATCAGGCTTGCCCTGTTGTTCCTGCTGTACCATGACATTGATGATGGTACCTGGCACTCCACTTTGTACCTTCAGAGTTACCCAGCCCATTCCAAGGCTTAAGAACCCTTTCCATGGAAACATTTTTCCTAATCTCCAACCTGAACATCGAATTGTCTTTGATGCTGGATAGCCAGAGTCCTCTGGGAAGGAAATACCTACCCCAAATACACTTGTGCTTTGTGGGGAAAAGAGTGAGGGCTGCTTATTAGAACTGAAACTAGTCCCCCAAACGGTACGAACCTCTCCTTTTGTTCACTGACCAGAAGCTACTACAGACATCAAAAAAAACATCTTCCTAGTAATACTGTTGTTCAAAGAGAGAATTTCTCATGTGTTGAAGGAATGAATGATTAAATCAGGAATTGTCTTTGATGCTGGATAGCCAGAGTCATAGAATCATAGAATTGTCTAGGTTGGAAGGGACCTTTCAGATCATCTAGTCCAACCATCAACATCACCCTGATAAAATCCATCACTAAACCATGTCTCTAAGCGCTATGGCAACCCAGCTTTTAAATCCCTCCAGGGATGGGGCCTCAACCCCTTCCCTGGGCAGCCCATTCCAAGGCTTAAGAACCCTTTCCATGGAAACATTTTTCCTAATCTCCAACCTGAACATCCCTCCCCTGGCACAACTTGAGGCCATATCTACCCCAAATAACACTTGTGCTTTGTGGGGAAAAGAGTAAGGGCTGCTGCTTATTAGAACTGAAACTAGCGAGCTGGGATGCCTGGGCTCTTTCATCAGGCTTGCCCTGTTGTTCCTGCTGTACCAGGACATTGATGATGGTATCTGGCGCTCCACCTTTGTACCTTCAGAGTTACCCAGTGTCACTCTTCCTTTCTCTTCCTAGAAAGTTTACTGTGGTCATGAATACACGATCAACAATCTCAAGTTTGCTCGACACGTTGAACCCAATAATGTCCATATCCAGGAAAAGCTTGCTTGGGCCAAGGTAAGCTGCTTCATCCTTTTCTTAGACTTGATGCTTTCATAGAGCCAGAGCCTCCCTGAGGAGTTAGAGGAGGGGAAGCAATGTTGGGGAGAAAGAGAGGCTGAGGGAAGGGAGATAAGAGCCAGGAGCTGCAGTGTGTTGTATGACCAGGGGAGTGATGTGTTGGGGAGTAGGGTCTGTGTGTGGCCCAGTGTGTGTTTTTGCTGTGTGGTGGAGATGTGACCCTCCCTGGAAGCTTCTTGGTATAATTACAGGCTGATGTCCACGTCTGTCTGGGAGGCACAGCTGTGTCCTGAGTTGCTCTGTGTGTACCTCAGTGCTTGTCTGTCTGTCTGTGTGGATAGACCTGGGAAAGGCCTGGCCTGAGGAGCAGCTCTGCAGCTCTAACCCTGCATGGTTAATATATGGGACATTTCTCATTCACCAAAACGTTCTTTCTTAAGCAGAAATCTCTCCCTTGTTACAGGCAAAGTATGACAGTGGTGAGCCCACCATACCCTCCACCATTGCAGAAGAGTTTACGTACAACCCCTTCATGCGAGTGAGGTACGGAGGAAATGTGGGTGTGGGGGTGGTCCTTGTGTTGGGAGGGGGGATGTGGGAAGGAGGAGGTCTCCAAAAAAAGAGCCATAACTGCCTGGCATATTCCTCTTCTGATGCCCTCAAGACCCTCCTTAAAATACACTTGCTGTCGTGGCAGAAGCTTGCTATTGTGAAATTTGGAGGGTTGTGGTGAGCGTCTCTGCCCGTGCTAAGCACCCTGACTCAAGAGGCAGAACAAGCTCCATTGGGTAATTATGTTTCTTCATCAAGCAGTGTCTGGCAGACGGGCACAGCAAAAGATGCTGTTCAAGGCATGAGAGTGTTTGCAATTTCCTCTTGCCAGTGTTTAAACCCGGGGAGCTGATAAGCCTGTCCCAGAGCCTGCCAGAGCCCTGAGTCTTTGATCTTTAAGCGCCACATTTCCCCTTGATGCAGGTGAAAGGTGTCAGTAGTGGCTTCATAGATGAGATTTTTATCTTGCAGTCTCTGCATTTGCTTTCCCTGGTGTCCCCTCCTGGCAGGGAGAAGACGGTTCAGCAGCACGCTGGGGAGACCGACCCCATCCGAACCATGGGGGCCATCAGGAAAGAGAAGGACAACTTCCGAGTCCCCAAGGACTGAGCACTCTGCCTGGATCACTTTAATGTCAGTTTAAGTGTAATTTAGACTATTCAGATATTTTAGAGTTGAGTTCTTCTGTTGTGGTTGAGAAAGTCATATTTAGGTTTTTATTTTTGTTTTAATTAAGAAAAAAAAAGCACTTTGCCCTTGCTGAGATCTTCTACAGCATATTTATATTATGATGAAGAATATTTATCCTTCTGTTGCTGGCTCTCAAACTGTCCCATGTGTCACATGCAGATCATTTTACAAGTGTTGGTACGTGGCTCGAAGTCTGGGGTGGGGAAGGGTCAAACCTTGAGGTCTAGGAAAAAGCTCCTGATATTTTTGTAGGAGCCAGATGCGAATGCAGAGAGTGGGGCTGGGGCCCAAGAAGTCTTCATTTAAAACAGAGACAAAAAATGCAGAAGCTACATTACCAGCTGAAAATTTGAACTTTGCTTCCATGCTGCTGCTTAAACAGTCTGTTGCTTCTGGCTCCACTAAAACCAGATCTCAGTGACAGACCTGCTCTGCCACCACCAGTTCAGGGCTTAGTTTGTGAAATAGGCAGGGTACTGGGGAGTGGCACACGCAGACTGTCCAGCTTTCCTCTTCTCTCTCACTTTCCTTGTCGTGGACTGCAGTAACTTTTCCAGGCAGTGTCTCTGGCTTCCAGACTGCACCCTTGCTTAACCCTTTCGCTCTTAACGTCAGCCTGTTTGCACGTAGCTGCTTACTGCTCTTAAGTGTGAGCTGGATGTTACTTGTGTTAGTACCACGCAAACGAAGAAGGGATTTGTCTGCTGGTCCAAAACCCTGAGAAGAAACCCCTTACTAGTGTCTCACTGTGTGTCTAACAGCTGAGCAGTGATGAGACTCCTCCAACAGATGCTTTGCTGCTGATAGCCAGAGTGGCTGCTTTGTACCTTGGTGTGAGTAACGTGGCAAATGGGCATTTCTTAGCTGGGTGCTGTGCCCCAGGGAGAGAGCGACTCACTGGAGGTCCCTGCCCTGAGCCTGAGGGTCTCCAGCTGAGGGGCCTGGCTCACAGCAGATGCTCTGTGCTGCTGGGGTTGATCTCCCACCCTGTGGGCTCTGCCTGGGCCAGCCTCTGCTAGAAAGGCCACAGTGGTGATATCAGTGCTGAGGGTGTCCACATATTCCCAGATTAAACAGGGCTCAGATCTTGCACCCCCTGAGAAACCACATTAGCGTGGAACGTTTCTTGTTCTTGGTTGGTCCATGGGGCTTAAAAGCCATCCCTGTTGTCGGAGTTGTGCTGTGAGACCCCACTCTGCAGCCAGGGAGGGAGCTTCCCCTTGGGTTGTCTTTCTCACGGGGAATAGTGTATTGAAGTGGACCAACAGGATAAACTTTGGGGGAAGATAAATCCAGATTTTTCAGTGAGGGGCTCACCCCCTTCCTGCACCTCCCATCCTCCAGCTCAGTGGCTTTAAACAAGAGAGATGGGAGTGAAGGGTGGTAGGACCCAGCCTTGCAGGCTCAGCATCTGCGTTTTTTCTTCCTCCTAATCTTATTTTCTTCCTTGTTTCTTGGTCTCGGCTGCGTGCTGCAGCTCTGCTCAAGTACAGGACATTTCCAAACAAAACTAACAAAAGATTAAAATTATTTTGGTTCCAGTTTCTCCCCCTCTCTCCAGTGAGCCTTGGTAAGTAATGCCACCGTGGAGTCCGTAACCGCCCGGGTGTCACCAGAGTAACTTTGGTCTGCTGTTCTAACGAACAGGCTGAATGGCAGTGTGTGAGCCGGATTTGGTGCAACACCATTTCTTTATTTGCTTTAAAAAAAAGGTAAATTTTTATGTAGTTCAGAAAAAAAATTGGTACCTAAAACTTTACTGCCTCCTTAACATGAACGCTGTGCTGCTACAACGGAGCGTGACTGTACTGATGGCTGTTTGACAAATGAGCAAATAAATCATAACAGCTGTAAATTGAGCATTGCTGGGATGGTCTGGAAGAAGGGGGGGTTCTTTATCTCACAATTTTTATTTTTTATTTTTTACTAGTAATTGAAGTCAACCAACTGGGAAGTGTTTTCTACTTAATCCTGGGAGGGAGCGGGTGGCACTTGGAGATCTTCTGGGGCTTTAGTCAAGGTCTTGTTACAACTGTGTTTTGTCTTTGGAAGAACGGAGTGTGCTCAGTGCTTGTTTGGTTCCAGTTTCTCCCCCTCTCTCCAGTGAGCCTTGGTAAGTAATGCCACCGTGGAGTCCGTAACCGCCCGGGTGTCACCAGAGTAACTTTGGTCTGCTGTTCTAACGAACAGGCTGAATGGCAGTGTGTGAGCCGGATTTGGTGTAACACCATTTCTTTATTTGCTTTAAAAAAAAGGTAAATTTTTATGTAGTTCAGAAAAAAAATTGGTACCTAAAACTTTACTGCCTCCTTAACATGAACGCTGTGCTGCTACAACGGAGCGTGACTGTACTGATGGCTGTTTGACAAATGAGCAAATAAATCATAACAGCTGTAAATTGAGCATTGCTGGGATGGTCTGGAAGAAGGGGGGGTTCTTTATCTCACAATTTTTATTTTTTATTTTTTACTAGTAATTGAAGTCAATCAACTGGGAAGTGTTTTTCTACCTAATCCTGGGAGGGAGCGGGTGGCACTTTGAGATCCTTTTTTATTTTTTACTAGTAATTGAAGTCAACCAACTGGGAAGTGTTTTCTACTTAATCCTGGGAGGGAGCGGGTGGCACTTGGAGATCTTCTGGGGCTTTAGTCAAGGTCTTGTTACAACTGTGTTTTGTCTTTGGAAGAACGGAGTGTGCTCAGTGCTTGTTTCACAGAAGCACATGGGGTTGGAAGGGACCTCTGGAGATCATCTAGTCCAACCCCCTGCCAAAGCAGGTCCACCCAGAGCAGGTTGCACAGGAACACGTCCAGGTGGGTTTTGAATGTCTCCAGAGAAGGAGACTCCACCACCTCTCTGGGCAGCCTCTTCCAGGGCTCTGCCACCCTCAAAGTAAAGAAGTTCCTCCTTATGTTTGCATGGAACTTATTATATTCAAGTTTGTGCCCATTTCCTCTTGTCCTGTCACTGGGCACCACTGAAAAAAGACTGGTCCCATCCTCTTGCCACCCTCCCTTTCAGTATTTATAAGCATTGATCAGATCCCCTCAGCCTTCTCTTCTCCAGGCTAAAAAGACCCAAGTCCCTCAACCCTTCCTCATAAGGGAGATGCTCCTCATCTTTGTAGCCCTAACAAACTCCTTTGTTTCCTGCCTGAAGCGGGGCTTATGTCCAGCTGGGCCAGGAGCTGGGACACAGCTCTGCTCCTGCTTGTCCTGCGTTTTTGGTGCTTTTGGGGCTTGGGTGGTTGGAAGGATGCACCTGGGGCTCTAGCGTGGTCGTGTGAGACCCTCCCAGCACCTCCCTCCTAAATACCAGTGCTAGTGTCCAGGTTTCCTCCAGATCTTGTATCTCTGATGTCCCCAGTGCCTGGTGGGAGCCAGGAACCCCCAACCCTCCCCAGGATGGGAGACCCTCGTCCCTCTCGACACTGGTGGTGGGACAAGTGGCTGGTTTCACAGTCCGGGCTGCTGGGACACCTGGCTGGGGGCCAGGCTGCAGTTTTGGGGTCTGGGGGGGGGATGGGACACAAACACCCCATGTCCCAACCATCCTCCTTTGCGGGGCTCCCCTGCACCTTCAGCCTGGCAACCCTGGGTGCTGGTGGGACCCGCTGCGTGGCAGGAGGAGCCGTGGGGTCCCTGCGGGTGGGCATGGGGATGCGGGGGTCCAGGGTGGAATATCCAGGGGGTGGTTCATCCCTCTGCCCCCCACCGGGTTGCGGGGGGTTGGGGGGGGGGGATTCAGCGGCCGCCGCGTCGCACCGGAGGCTGGCGAAGCCGGGTGGGCCGTGCGGGATGTCAGCCCGCCCCACGCTGCGTGACCCGCCCCGCACTGCACCGGCGGGGGCGGGACGTGCCCGCCCGCTGCGGGGAGGGGCTGCGGGCGGTGCCACCCGCAGGTAGCGGCCGCGTCACGCGTGGG